ATTAGCCAAGCTAATTTTGAGAAAGCAAAAATTTTAACTTTATTGAATAAACTAAATTGTAATTTACAAGTTAAAGTGAAGCTTTTTATAGAATTTCACTAGATAAATTTTACTTAGTTGTAAACACTTATATTTAATTAAAATTCTAATAAAAATCTATCCTTAAGATATAAGACTTTAATAAAATAATAACTCATCTTAATCTTAATCCTAAGATAATAATTAATTAATCATGTGCACAAAACTTAACATTAAAATATTAATAAAAATATTGATAAAATAATACTAGATAAATCTTCTCTTTATCTCCATATTTTTCATGTGATTTAATCTACATGTAGACTTCAAGTTAACAAAGAATTCCTCTTAAATTTTTTTTTTATAAAATTTAAATGTGAAAGTAGGATTAAGGAAGTCTCTCTTTCGGATTAAACTTGCTTTAGATTTGAGTAGAAATCTTTACGGGAATCAGATTAGAAATAGAAGAATAAGTGTAAGTGAAAGTTCAAGTTGGGCTCAAAAGCATATTGTCCAACCAAGCAAGTAGGCTTGTTGTTGCGTGCGTGTGGCACGTGTTAAAGGCCTCCTCACATACACACAACTTGTGCACCTATGCGGCAACAGTTGTCTACATATACACATCCCTGTGTGCAGGAGCTGTTTCCTTGCACGCCCTACGTGCAACACGTTCCCGCATGTGCGGGTCTTCCCAAGGCACAACATGGGATGGCCTTCTTCTTTTAGGCACAATCTCCTTGGGTTATGGCCCACTTTGATCATATGGCCCTAAAGCCATCTCGGGTTGGGCCAAAATTAGGTCTTTCTTCTTACCTTCTAATTTCTCTAAGCCCATTAAGTATCACTTGGGCCTTAAGCCTTCTTGTTTGAACAAACTTTGCCCATTCCTTGGAATATTTCCATTTTAAAAAGTAGTCAAAGATATAGTTACTTTCCTATTTAAGATATTTCAATTTGGAAAACTATAATTTACTTTCTCATTTGAATCGATCCAATTTAGGAAATAAAGGGATTTTGGACTTGCTTGCCTGTTTGGGATGGGACCTATAGAAATTATGCATTTGCTCACTATCCACTATTTGGATGCAAACTCGCGAGTAATCATCCTGCAGGAATCCTGATTAACCCGGGATTTCTCATTGAAACAAGATTGCATCTTTGAAACTAAGTTTGAGCCTCTAGGGCACATCAGTAGATAATGTGGTTGACATGAGCGTTAAAAAAGAAA